ATAGAAATAGTGTTCAGTCTTGTCTATCCCTCCTCCACTAGTCCCCAGAAGATAGTAAGCATATTTGCTGATCGGGCACTTGGGGACCTAAATAAAAATGTCTATTCTATGAATTAAAATATTTCTTTAATAATAATAATTTATTAAACTTATATTGCCCAACTCACAGATGCTGTTTTAGAGAAGAAAAACAAGTCTGAGGCACATTCCTTGCACAAGCATCTTCTGTAAGGGATGTGGATTAAAGCCTCTTTTGTCAGGGATAGTTAAAGCAGTCCTATTGATTGGTTCTGCTGAAATAGTGTTCTAAGGTAAACACACTGAATTAATTGGTGAAGCACTATAAATCCACAACATGATTCTATGCCAATTTCAGAAAAGAGAATGGATAATAGAAATGCCTGAAAACACAATTTTTCTTACTTTCACTCAGTAGTCAAAACAGAATCCTGCTGCTAACACAGATATTCCAATCCTGATCAATTTGTAATAATCTGATTTTAGGAAAATGAAGAGCAGCTGAAACCTTACCATCTATTTTTCTGATGAGGAGCCTGCCCCACTGAGCTCCACAGAACTTATTTTTAAATCATAGGTGTGCATGTGTGTGAGAGAAAATTACAAGTTATCATATCCATGGCTTAAATCTTACATCAATCATGAATTCGCTGAGTGATCATTCCCTTCTCTCTTCCATGCCCAATATATTTTGATGTGGGTCACATTTCCCATGCATGGATAGGAGCTAACGCTCCTCCTACATAATCCCAGCAACAATCTGACCTACGAGGCACAACCGTAGGCCAATATTATAAACTAGGGGGAGGGTTGCGCTTGGAAGAGCAACGTTTAGAGATGTCTAGATCTACAGCAACGCGAGTCCTTGCTACGACTGCACCCCCAGCCTCATCCCACGACCACCCCGCAGCCCTGCCCCTCCCAACAAACGGGAGTAGCAGCACCTTCCCCACCCGTCACGCGCCACTCACCATACGAAATCGTTGCTTTTGTCCTCGTAGGAATTCAGAAGGCCGTTGCAAAGAGGAGTCAGCAGCGGCCTCTTCCTGGTGCCACTGCCGCTGCTGGCTGCGCTACTGCCGCTCCCGACTCGAGTCCCCGCCAGGCGAGAAAGGCCCCCGCCGCAGGAGGATCCAGACACAGCGGCCGCCACCAACACGGGTCGCGAGGGGACCGCTGATGTGCCCGTCGCCATCGCGGTGCCCATCGCCATCGCGGTGCCCAAGCAGGCCGAGGTGGTGACCGAGGCGGTCGAGGAGGAGCCCGGAGGGGCCGCAGCACCCGGCCCGGCCGGAGGCTGCTGCGGCGATGGCCTGTTTCCGGACATTGCCGAGGCCTGCCTGGGCCAGCTACGGCGGCGAAAACGAGCCTTTCCTCCTCGCGAATCAACGCATCGCTTCCCCCCCACACACACACAAACACACACAGAGACCAACTGCGGGCAGAGAGGAACAATAAGGCTTCTACAGAAAAAATAAAAACTCTCACCATCGTCCCGCCTCAGGAAGCCAGTACGCCGAATCTGATTGGTTCCCAGACTCCCGCTGGCTGTCCTCCTCCCATCCGAAAGCGAAAGGGGCGGGGAAATGCCTCCCGCTTGTTGAACTTTAGCAACTCACATCCTGCACTTCGTAGGCGGGGCTAACAACGACGCATGTGCCACTGAAGTTCCTCCTTGTTTCCTCTATGTGGGGATACGCGCTTGCGCAACAAACTGTCAGACCGATTGAATCAGTGCGTTTGTAGGGTTCATCTTTCTTACCCGACAACGACGTGCGAGGAAGCGATGAACTGTCGTCGGCACCCTCCTCTATTTCCAAAGCCTAGGCCTACGTAGGCTCAGTTTGTGCGGCTGCAGCCTTCAGATATCCAGACACCTAAAATTTCCGATTATCAGTTGGGTTTGGCCTTCGTTCTATGGTCCCGTTCAACTATTGCCTTCATTACATGGAGAAGCATCAATTCCTGGGGGGGAGGGGTGGTTGGTTTTGTTTTGTTTTGTTTTTTCATAAAATGCCTTTGGGGCTCCTAAACAAGTTGGCACTTTTCCCCTTTGGTGATCAGTTAGATTTTTGTATATCTATTGGCAGAGCACCTGCCTTAACAAAACTCAGTTATTATCATATTGGCCAGGTTTTACAGTTTTAGTGTGCAAGATCCATTAACATTGCATTGTCTGCTGATTCTATGTCTGCCTTTTCTTGCAACAGCTGAAACCTTTGGTTTTAGCAAGAGGGAAACATAACTAAGGCGGAATACCAGGATATAGCCCGAATCTGCAAAGATGAAGTCAGGAAAGCTAAGGCTAAGAATGAACACAAACCTGCAACAAAAGTCAAAAATAATTTTTAAAAAGTTATTTCAACATATAAATAACAAGGAAACAGTCAAGGAAACAATCCACTAAAGAGAGAAGATAGCAAGAAAGTAATAGGCAGTAGAGAGAAGGCAGAGCTTCTTAACTCATTCTTTGCATCGGTCTTCACACAAAAAGAAATTATATATAAGGTCTTGCCTCAACCCAAGAAAGCAGAACTCTTGAAACAGGCATTGTTTCAAAAGGACCTTTTATTGAGAGAGTGATAGCAAGAGAGCAAAGCAAGATCTAAAGTTTTCCTGCACGAATTGCTACATTAAAATTTTCTTTTCACAAAACCCCATCCCAGAGTCCAACTGTCCAGTTCGTGTTCAGCCAATCCACAGTGCAAGTTGTTATGGGAACTGGAGCTGATAAGGGACGGTTCCCAGGCATTTCACCGGATCTCTCAACTGACTGGAGATAAGGCAGATGGCCCCTGGCATATTCCATTCCCCTTCTCACACCCAAAGAGATACATCAAAGTTGAGTAAGAACAATGCAGAGGAAGTACAGCCCAAAGCCCCCTCCCAGTGGCTACCAACCTTCCCCCTCCCACCATAATTGCAGAGCTCCAAAAAAGAAAGATTGATGAGGTTTCTGATAACCTACCGAAAACTAACTGTAAAAGACAGACTAGGGAAAAAAATTAAAATAAGAGAATGGTTAGAGAATACCTATCTCATCTTGACAAATATAAATTACTGGGACACGATGATTTACATCCCAGAGTTCTGAAGGAGCTGGCAGATGTTATTGCAGATCCATTGTTATCAAATCTTTCAAAAATCCTGGTTGGAAACTGGTCAAAGAGAGAAGCAACCTGGAACTAAGGAGAAATATCCTAACAGTGAGAACAACCAGTGGAACAGCTTGACTTCAGAATTGTGAGTGCTTCATCAGTGAAGGTTTTTAAGAAGAGACTGGACAGTCACTTATCTGAAATTGTATAGGATCTCCTGCTTGAGCAGGGGATTGGACTAGAAGACCTCCAAGGTCCCTTCGAACTCTTCTGGTAGATTGATAGTACTGTCTTCCTCAACTGGGAGTGAGTCATCTTTGCCTTCAGGGTCATCAGCTTCTTACAGCCAGATACATTTGGAATAATTCAGAGGCTATGAGCATCCATAGTGAAGGTTTTTTTACCCCTTCTATGAAAAGCTATGTATATGTGACCCTAAACTCAAAATAAAATTTGCAGGCCATACTGGTGGAGGATAAGAAATGGACAAACCTTTCAGAAGGAAGGGTTCTCACAGTGTCAAAACTTGTTCAGTCTATTGCATTCCTTCCTAAGAAGAACAGCCTTGTGGTCCAAAGATTAGGGGTTTGTGATGTTGAAATAGCAACTATTCGTCCACAACATGGGTGTCAAACTCAATCACATCATGTGATGTATACTGATTTTTTTTTTGCCTTTGCGGAGCCGTGGTAGGCATGGCCTGTATGGGACACATCCAGCCCATGGGCTGCCTGTTTGATACCCCTGCTCCACAACAATATTCACACTGCTGAGGTATTTTAATTGAAAGATCCAGTGATTGGCAGTTGACAGCCAATTGTGGTCAGTTTGATTTCAGCTGTTCAACTGTATCATGTCTATCCACCAGTGTTCTTAGTGAAAGGAGTTTTCCATGGCAGATGACATTCTTACATTCTGTTACCATTCTCTGGTTTATGATTTAGTGCAGCATTTTTTTTTCTGACTCCTCAGCTTTCTTGAAGTCTCAAAAAAAAAAAAAAAACATCCTCAAGTTTCTGTAGCACTACCCTTGAGATTGCTTCTCCTTTTCTCTTTTTCCTTTTTTTTGGGGGGGGGGGATCTTTTTTATGTTGTTTTAGTTCATTTCCCAGAAACTGCCTTTGTCTCTGCTTCCTGGCTGTTGTTGCTTCTCTTACTATTAAGACTTTTTTATTCCTAATATTTCTGTCATTATGCCATGTCCTATAATCTGAAAAAATAGAGAATAGGTCTTGATATTTTAGATATAATTTTCTATCAGCTATTTGAAAAGTATTATTGTGCATCCCTCCATTTCATCAATTTTTTTTAAGTCTGAATTATATTCAACTCTTTAAATTCTAAGAATTTGGAACCATGGTTTGGAAACAATGCTGATGTAGGCTAAAATTACATTTTGTCTTATTTGGTAGCACATCATCTGCACAGTCCCTCCCAAGACCTCATTGTGGGGGGAAATCTCCCTGGAGGATCTAACTCAGGTCAAATCACAGGCAAGGAAGGGTTGTCCGAATGCAGCGAGGTCCCAGGAGTTCCCAACTATCTTTATTCATCGTCTTCTGTTACACTTAAGCTAGTGTTAACAGTCAAAGAGATTTATTCCCCTTCCCCTTCCCAGTCAGCTGACACAGACTGAATGCAAATTCCTCATTTATTGGGAATTGATTTTGTTGTTGGACAGAAGATCACATAGTAGTGACACTTTCTTTTTATTTAAGAGACTGATGTAGACACCCATCTTATATACAAAATCCCTGGGTGGATCAGTGCATAACAATAAAATATAAAAACCAACAAAATGATAATAACCACAAACAGTACACCATATCGTACTGGCAAAACCATTCTCCCTCCACATCTTCTGGACTCATCCTACCCCAAGTATTAGTGGAAGAACCAGCTATTTACGGTGTCCTTATCATTCAATAAGGAGATGGAGGGAGGATGCTGGATCTCATAGAAAATCCTCTTGATCTAGTTTATAATCCACAGATATATTAAAAATGAATAAAATGTGAATAGGAAAAAAATCCCAGCTGAAATTAAACAAATATTATCTCAGCTGAGAGTAAAAAATGAAATGTCAGGTTGTTAATGTAAAAAAGGTTTATATATATATATAGTAAGGCTCATATAAAGGTAGTCCACAAAAAGCCACAAAGATACTTAAAATATTTAAAAATTTAAAAATATTGTAAAAAATATTGCAGTCTCTGATCATTTGTAATCCACAAAAGAGGGTAGAATGATAATTGCAGCCCAAGGCAATAAATTTACTATCAGGGCAATAAAGTTTATGGTCTAGGCAGTAAAGGTTTAAAATCTTCCGGTGACAGTTGTAACAACTTTCTAAAATGAACATTCAGTTTTTTCAGGAATATTCAATATCTATAAAATTTGTATTCAATTCATTCATGATTATTTAGTTAATACTGTAATACTTATAAATCCTTATAAACATAGGATTTATTGCAGGGGAGCACTTCTGATTTTGATTTATTCCTTTTCACCTTCAAAGCTTCCAACTTTCAAATCTGGTTTTTCAATGCCAGCTGCATGTATGTCCCTATATCATCTAAATATATGAAGCTTAGTTGATTCCAAACAAATAAAAGAATCAATAGTGAAGATCCATTTGAAATAGTCCAAAAGAGTACAGCAGATGCTGAAACTTAGCTGATACTGGACAAACCTTCTCCTTAAGAATCAGATGAAATACAGCATTTCCCTCAAGAGCAGGCCTGCAGATGTTCCTGGATTCCGGCTCTTGGGAGAAGGCCCATGAGCTAGGAATTTGGACTCCAAAAATACTGGAGGCCCACAGATTCTCCATTAGAGATGAAACAGTATTCACAGTGCTTCTCATCAAGATGTTTCAGAAATTCTTACTACAGGCATGACGAATAAATCTGTCTTGTTCCTTTCCTAAATGTGCCGAGCTAAGTGATCATGGCTTGTTTAAGATACGTGTTGAGTTCATGGGAAAGCTATTTCTAGACCTTCTGATCCATAAACTAACCTCTTACTTATAGAATGATATCTCATTTTGTTTATGTGTAGGGTAAATTTACATGGAACTGTGTTACACTAGTATGTATTGTTTAATAAAAAAATGCTTCCTCTTCATAACACATAGAAACAGGTGTGCATCTAAAAACTTTTGTCTTTGCTGACTGATCTATTTTCTAGACTAATGCTTAAATGCATTCAACTAGATCCTTGGTGACAGCTTTTGACATCTCACTTGGCTTGAGATTTCTTGATAGGCTATCATTGAAGACTATTTAATTTTGATAGTTGTGTTCCTCAATCATCCAACTCTCACTGGCCTAATTCCTAGTTCACAAGGATCCCTTTGTTTTAGTGAGTTGTGCTCTCTAGATTAGTTCAAGTGACAGCCTGTACATCATATGCAATCTTGGTCTATCCTTTGTTTGTCCTTGGTCTACCATTGTCTATCCATTCTTGGCATTTTGGCATAAACATAGTTGCTGTTTGGCCCTTCTTTCCTTTTCTTTCTCCATATCAATCTCTCCTTTTTTTCCTTTTTCCTTCCACTCTCTTTCTTTTCTCCTCTCACCCAACTTAAGGTATCATTTAGATAATCACAATTGTTGATGACAAATGTTCATTGGTTATGAAGCTCATGTTGAAATACCATAGTCCGTTAGGAAAACAGTATGTCACTCAGTCTAAAAAGGCCCAAGAAGTTCTGGAAAACCAAAATAGTAAATACTTGGTGATATGTTTCCAGTTTGTTCATTTGGTCATCTTGATGTTAATAACATTAGAAGCAGCAGAAATGAGAGAAAAGTCTACACTAAGATGGGATGTGATGTTTCAGGCCCTTCTTCATTTAAGGCTATCTCAAGCTACTCATTCACATATTGCTCGGATTCTTCTATGGATTCCTAGAGCCATTCCTCCAGATTGTTTCTGGCTTCTTCCAGTGATTCTCGTCTGAGTTTTTCAGAAATGTTTGTAGCGTGCTTGTATATCTTCTGGGTACAATAAAACCATGCTTTCTGGAACTTGCTATTTGAAGCCATCCATCCATCCTTTTTTTTTAGAGGAAGCAGATCCTACCCAAATCGCTCTCTCCTTCCTCTTTCCTCTCCTTTTCCTCTCTACCATGCTTGTTTTTGATTCCTTAGAGTATTTGACATCCTAGATTACTTTAATAGATGCTTCAAGCCATTCTTGACTGCCTAGATGGATGCTTCAGGTTCTTCCTCTTTGAAGCTATTTACAGATATTGTTGGTATGTTTCAGGACCTTTCCCAAGTTTTTCAGAGATTGTTGAAGCCATTTTTCAAGAAGTGGTATGGGTTCTTCAGAAAATGAAAAGCTATCTAAGGATCCTTGAAGCCATTGTAATATATTTTCCACGGGACCTTCAGAACATTGCTTCTTGAGGTTCTCTATTGATTTTTCAAACCATCCCTTTCTTAGAGTTCTTCTAATCTCTACCTTAGATTTCTGTAGACCCTGAATGGCTTTAATAGAAGCTTCAAGCCATTCCTGAATATCTAGATGTGGTGTTTTAGGTCCTTCCTCCTCAAGATTCTTTATAGATATTTCAAGCCATTTTTTGGCATCTTGTTTAGATGTTCCAGGACCTTCCTCTTGCAGGTTTTTCAAGGATTGTTGAAACCATTTTTCAAGAACTGGTCTAGGTTTTTCTGAAACCAAGAGGCTTTCTAAGGACCCTTGAAGCCATTCTAATATATTCACAAATCCTTCAGGACATTGGTTCTTGAGGTTTTCTATTGATTTTTCAAACCATCCCTTTCTTAGTCTTCCTCGAGACTCTGACTCAAACTTTTGTAGATGTTGAATGCCTATAATTGATGCTTCAATCCATTCCTGCACTTCTAAATCACATGTGTCTGGTCCTTCTTCTTGGAGGTGACTTATGGATACTTTCAACCAACCATTCACATCCTCCCTTTCAACCAACCATTCACATCCCTCTTGAAGGTTGATTAGGGATGCTTTTAGCCATTCTGCTAAGGTGTCTCTTGACAGTTTAGCAGAATCTTCTTTCAGGTTTTCCAGAGTTTGCTGAAGCCATCTCAGTATATTTTGCCTGGCTCCCTTGGATTTTTTGATTTTGAGGCTATCTACTGAAGCTTTAAGCCATTGCTCCTTTAGTTGATATTCCACCACTTGAGGCTTCATTTTTTCAAGAGCTTCTGAGTTGTCTTCTATAATGACTGCACTTGTTTGGCAGGCATTCACAAAGCCTCTTTTGTACTCTCTACTATTGGGTGATACCATCTGGTCTTTGTCCATCAATAATGTGCAGCAGCCCTTCCTCAGTTGCTTCTCTCTAGAAAAATCAGAAGGTTAGATGTGAATCTGGACCAAGAACAAAGCATTCTTAGTCAAAAAATAATGGGAACTGCTTTGATGTCAGGAAATCTCACTGTGAAAGTATATAAATATTGTTGGGCAGCGGGGGTTGGGGGTTGAAATATCTCTCCTGTACATACCTTCCCATTCACTTCCATGAGATTAACTCCTAGATTTGTATATGTAAAAGTGTAATGAACCATAATTCATTGATTTTTTTCTAAGTTAAAGGGAATTTAAGGTCTTTCCAAGATTTCTAAGCTAAGGAGAATTTAATATGAAAGTCTAGAACAGGAAGTCATGGTGGCTATCTAACAATTCCTCACCTGCACAGTCTTTCCTCATACGCTCTGCAGAGCAACTCTTTCTCATCAGTTAGTTCAAGATTTTTGAACACGAGCATCTCAGCCTTGATTCGGAGCTCTTCTTTTTCTGATAATAGTTTTGACATCACTGTTATCTTTCTGTAAATTATGACCAGAGACAAATTAGCCCTCTTAATTTTTTCCTTGAATTATTAAGCGTAACTACATTTTTAATTATTTTTATATTCCATTATACCTATTGCTATTGTCTTATTCACTAATACATAGATATAAAAGAATGGAATATTTCTTTTATCCATTATATCTGGGCTCAGGGCTTTAATAAATTTGAATTTGAAAGAAAACTTCAGGATTGCTATGTAAATATTCCTTACCTATAAAGTTCATCTTTAAGGTCATTATTTTCTCTTAGGAGCTCTGTTTTTTCTCCAGCGTATTTCAGAACCTTGCAGCTGAGACTCTGATTCTCTTGTCTGAGTTTGTCTAATTTTATAGACTCATCTGAACTATTTTTTCTGTAAAATATCAAGAGCAGAGGGAAATTAGCCCCCCTAGATTTTTTTATTTGAATCACAAAACTTGTTTAAAATTAAAACTAATTAAAATAACTGATATTTTGTTTGCTATAAAAATTCTTAAATTTTAATTAATTTAGTTTTTGCTATTTGTATTACAACAGCTAGCAAGCTCTTCTTCCAGGAGCAAATGCTGGAATTATTTACTGGGTACTTTGGAAATGCTCAGTAAAAATGATGAATCAGTAAGTCTATGCAGACTCTACCTCCATTATACTCTAAAGGGATTTGATTAGCTCCTTCAGCATTAAAGTTAAGATTGCTATATTTAAGAGTTTGACTAGTACAAGTTAATGCTTGTCCCTTCAGTATTTAGCATTTCATAATCCATTATTATCACCAAGGAATCTTCAGATCTTAAAAACATTTTTTCTTTTTTCTCTTATATACTAGAACAGGCACAAGCCAATTCAAAACAATTTTCAGAAGCAAAGTTTCTGATGTATACAGAATGATGGCTGCTGGCGTGATTGAAAAGCACAGTAGTAGGTAGGAGATAAAACCAAGGATCCCTAAATATATGTGATTGGGCCATGAAGATTCCCTGTGAAGAGATTTATGATATCTAATACCTATCTGGGACTCAGTGATCTCTTCTCTTGCTACTGCTTTAATCCAGGCATGTCAAACTCATGACGTCACGTGACGTTGTGCGATGTATTGCAACTTTTTCCCCATTGCCGGCAATGGGATGGGCGCAGTTTTGGCATGATGCATCTGGCCTGCGGGCCAGCTGTTTGACATGCCTGCTTTAATCAAACACAAAGTCTCTGGAAGTGAAAATCTTTAAAAAAACAAGGCCTCACTGAGATCAGAAAAAGGCACTAGACATGCTTGGAGAGCCAGAATGTTTGGAACAAGTTAAAAAGAATCAACTTTGCTTTTCCCTAACCTTTTTCCAGGCAACATAATTCATCCCAGAACATTGTATAAAGTACGTCCAGGGGAAGGAGCTAAGGAAAATTTAATATGAAATTCTGGAAGAGAAAGTCAGCTTTGCTATCTAAAAATTTCTCACCTGCTCAGCTTTTCTTCATACTCTGTGCAGAGTTCCTCTTTTTCTCTGGTCAATTGGAGATTTTCATTTATGAGCTCCTGAATTTTTAATTCAAGTGCCTCTTTTTCTGTCAAGAGTTTTGAAATTTCCATTGTCTTTCTGTAAATTATGAAAAACAGAGAAATTAGCCCCCTTAGGTTTTTTACTTGAATTATCAACCTTTTTCTTCAGTTAAAAATAAAAAAAATAAAAAAATACCTTCATGGGTTTGGGTGCGTGTATGTACATACAAAGGAAATAATGCTTTAACCATTTATTTTTATTTTTCTTATACATTCCATGAAAGGCATAAATCAATTCAAAATGATTTCTAGAAGCAAAATAAAGTTATGGATGTAGGATAAGGGGAAAGTTCTCATTTCTCACAAATGCCTAAGTGTCAACATATCCAACAAGTTGCTTCCTCGGTGATTAAGGCAGTACCTTGTTTATGAGGGAGCATGAGATAACAAGAGTATTAATACAATTGGCAGTCATTATGAGAGGTTCTGTTTAAAAAACAAATTCAACTGTTGCTATTCCTAGTTTATTTTGCAAGCTTTACTAGAACATAATTTTCATCACTTCCCTTCTGTTGTGAACAGAAAGTTGTCAAATTTACCAAAACACTCTTCAACATTCAAAGCATTGCCCTTCCCCATACTGCTTTCACTCCACTTCATTAATCCAGAATTGGCTTAATTCACAGTTTACATCAATCTGCAGCTAGCACAAATGTCCCTCCAATTATTTTCATTTGTGAGAAATGAACAATTGCCTTCCAGTGTTTTGTTCCTCCTTAATATGCTCGAAGATTTCAGCACTTATAATGGGGTGAGCTCCGAGCTCCGTTACTTGCCCCAGATCCTGCCCACCCAACAGTTCGAAAACATGCAAATGCAAGTAGATTAATAGGTACCACTTCAGTGAGAAGGTAACAGCATTCCATGCACCTTTGTTGTATAGCCATGCTGGCCACATGAACATGGAAATTGTCTTTGGACAATGCTGGCTCCCTCGGCCAAGAAATGAGATGAACACTGTGCTCTAGAGTCGGACATGACTAACAGGAAACCTTTACCTTTACTCTGGAGTAAATTCTCTACAGTTACAATTTCACTGAATGTGGTGTTCTTCTTACCCGACAACCAGACTGCATTGTAAGAAATGCCAAACTCTCTGAAATTCCATTGCTGATGTATGTATGTATGTATGTATGTATGTATGTATGTATGTATGTATACATTTATTTGTTTGTTTGTTTGTTTGATACAATGGTCAGTCCCATTGTCAATGTAGAAATTATGAATGTTGTGTTTAAAGTGTGAACTTAATAGGCTTAAGCTGTGATTATCTCATAATAAGTAACCACAAGATAAACTAGGTGAGCATTAAGAGTCAACACTGACTTGATGGCTGATAATCCATCAAGATAATAAATAGCAAATTGTTACTAAATATGTTTCAGAAGTCATTCTGGAGAGGATATCTAAAATGTTTGTGCACCACATAAAGGCATTTTCAACTATGCCAAAACTTACATATAACTCTGCTCCCTCGCTCTCTTCAGATCTATTTCCAGTCGTTGAGCTTTTGTCTGAAGAATCTGGAAAAGCCAAAATACATTACAAGTCAGGAATATATTTCTATATCAACCCACTCACTTCCCCACACTTTCCTCCCACTCACCCCAGGCTTCTTCACCCCTTATTATGACATGAAATATTTCTAGGTAATGCACATTCAAAAGATTCCTCAGATGCTAGATTGCTTACCTGATGGGAACGTATCTTGAAACTTAAATCATGGCCTGCTGGTTCCTCATGGCCCACATGCATCTTAATGTTTTCAGGATGCCTGGAAATCTGGCAGTTCTGTGAAGAATAAAAAACATAAAATGAATTGTGAATCAGATTTTTGCTTGATAAATTTTCCTTCATTAAGAACATTTCTTTAAGGAGATACAAGGAGAAGAATTACATGAATTTGTTTTCCATAAAGTAAATTCTCTGTGATGTCAGTGTAAAGAGGATATTAGTTTAATCTTCCTCTTTAGGAAAAGAGTCTGGAGTGTAGACAAGCATATTTGTGCATATTAAAATCCATGCATGTCAATATCTGCACTCACATGTCCAACTCCCAATTTATTGCTGTAGATATTCAATAGAGGAAATAAAGATTATTCATGCTGAGGTAGAAAAAGAAAGATCTAATTTTAGTTATTTTGTTTAGGAAATGTAAAACACAGTAGCTGACACAAAATATGAACCATCTAAATTTTATTTCACTGTTTTTAGTATTGTATGTGGCCACAGAAACATAATAAGGGGTGAAGAATTAGCATGAACTCTGATAATTAGCATGAACTCTGATAATTTCCATTCTTTATTAAAAATTACAAATAAAGTTAAAAAATTTAGTTTGTATTGAGTAGACATTTGTATGAATCTCATATAAGTAATAGAAATATAAGCCAAATGTATATACTGTAGAATATAAAATATACTGCACATGCATTACCAATTGTGAAAAAACATTTATTTTGAATTTATCTACATTTTCCCCATAAATTTATTCTAAGGTGAGCTTGAAATGTGAAATGTATAGCTATAAATCTGGGGGGGTTATTTTGATACAGCTCCTGTGATACCAGGCTGAATCTGCCATAACTAAAGATGAAGCAGGGATGAAAGCAGAAAGGGCAAAATGTCAGGAGTCTCATCCCAAACTTCCCTTCATGGAGGGAGGTAAGAAGGAAATGAGTTGTTAAGGAAGACAAAGGAAGTTAGGCTGAGCACATGGAAGACCCTCAACAAAGCAAGAACTTGGGCAATAAAAAGGGGTCCTGAAACCCATCAATTCCTTGAATAATCTTAGCAATGTCTAGTAACAAAAATATTGGGGAAGGGGCCATTCATTTTTTTAAAATGATGTACTTTCCATTTTAGCAGCAAGGATGAATTCGAGTTTATTTCTCAAGGAAATAAAGATAACCTAACCACAAGGAGAATACTGTATACTCCTTGTATACTGACTATAATTATACATTATATACCTCAGCGTGTCTCTGTTCTTCTGTGGTAGATGACAGAAGAGGAAGTCTAGAACTTTTTTCCTGCAATGACAAAATACCCTCTTTTAAAAAGACAAATTCACAGTGATTAAAAACACTTATTTTTCTAACAGCTTTTTATGACTTGGATTGATGTTAAACATAGTTTCTTCATCTTTAAATCTTAGATGCCAGCTGGCATCTAAACTTTGCACCCTTGTCTGGAAATTCACACTACCTGAATAAAAGAAGCTTTTGATATTCCTCTGCCTGTACTGATACCAGCATTTAATATAAAGTGTAGCTGCGGTCTCTGCTGGCATAATTTGTATTTTCCCTTTTCATACATTTTAGAGCCTGATGAGTTGGAGAAGTAAACAGCCTGCTAATTGTTTTGTGGCATTTTAGTCATCTCAGTCAATTTAATATCCATTTTCTTTCTCCGCAAGATTGGATCAAGAATCTTAAAGGGAATATCTAAAGCTCGTCTACCACTTTGGTTTTCAAATGTTCTCTTTAAATACTTGAAGTTCTTGAAATAAAGAATGAATTAAAAGGGATACAGTCTGGGATTAGTAGGCATGAGACATGTCTATGGAGATTCGCAGTCATCCAGGTCATGGTTGTCAGAACCGAAGAAGCTTCTTGGATGAGAATCTAAACAACTTCCGGGGTGGGGGGTGGGGAAGAAACTCCAGTTACCTTTTGAAAAAGACCTTTGGGATAGGAATGGGGCAGATAGAGAGTCCTTCTACTATTATCCTCAAACAGCCCTTTCATTTTAAGTGAAAAGTTCAGAGAAAGCAAACAGTATTCCTGCTAAAGTTATGTAAAATCTCCATTAGCAGGCTTATTAAATATGTTAATAAGTATTTAATCAGTATTTTCAGTGACTTAAGCTAGCTCTGCAAGTTCACTGATTCATTCATCCAACTTATACGGCTGCCCAAAATGCAACAGAGATTCTTTGCTTTCCTTTCATTTGTTTGCATTTGATTCTCAGGGACTGGCTGGACAAGTCTCTGCAGTTTCCTTAGCAAGGTTTTTCAGAAGTGGTTTGGTGATGCCTCCTTCTTAGGGCTAAGAGAAAGTGACTGGCCCAGTCACCCACCTGGCTTTGTGCCTAAAGTGGGGCAAGAACTGTGAGTCTCTGGGGTTTATAGCCTGATGCCCTAACCATGATACCAAACTGGCTTTATTGAATAGCTAACATAAGCTAACAATGTATTTCAAAAAATAAAGTACAAAACAAAAACCTATAATTGCAACAGGACAAACACAAAACACAATGAATAGTCTGTCTGTCTGTCTGTCTCTATCTATCTTACCTCTTTTTTGAGACGTTTCATGTTTTCTTTTAATTTTCTCAGCAAATTGCCTTCCATCGCAAAATCAGCGATGGCAGCTAGAAGATAAAGTAATAGGTGAGAAAGCAGACAAGCATAAATATTTTTATTTCAAAAACTGGAATGTAGGTCTTGAGAAACAATGTTTAGAACAGCACATAATTTTTTAATTGCATTTATCCTCCAGTTCAGTGGTTCTCAACCTTCCTAATGCCATGACCCCGCAACCAGTCATAAGTCGAGGACTACCTGTATTTCCCTGCCCGGGAGCACCGCGCATACGTGGTGCCACCCCCTGCACCAGCTGAGGCGTAGCTGGCAAGCAGCAGAGACGGCGCAGGCCGACCACCGGCTGGGCCACCAGCTGGCCCAGCCCAAGGAGGTAAGGCACCCGTCGGGCCCCACGCGTGCCAGCAACCCTCCCTGCGCCCACCGCTGCCCCGCTAGCCTTACCTTGGCCATCGCCCATTCATGGCAGCGGCAGGCAGGCCCAGGGGCTCCTGGGCGGCCACGGCAAGCGGCAGCGACGGCGCAGGCCGACCACTGGCTGGGCCACCAGCTGGCCCAGCCCAAGGCAGGTAAGGCACCCACCAGGCCCCACGTGGGCCAACAACCCTCCCTGTGCTCACCCGCCTCCCACCTCCCACTCCTGGCCCTCTTTTACTTACTTTTAGTAGTTGCTCAGCAGGGAGGGAAGCTTTCTAGAAAGTTCGCCTTGCAGCACCATTTGCAGACTGGGGCTTTTGGCAGGCTCAGCAGGGCAGAGACAGCCTGGACAATTCCTATTGGCTTTTGAAAGCCAATAGAATTAGACTCTATTCAAGAGAGTCTATTCTATTTCGAATAGATTCTATTGGCTTTTAAACGCCAATAGAATAGAGTCTCTTGAATAGAATCCATTCTATTGGCTTTCAAAAGCCAATAGACTTCCGGTGGCGACGGCCGCAGCGATGGCGGTTTTCTTCAGCCGTCCGCCCTGAGATGTGTCAAAGCCAGCTGAGACAGCGAGCAACAGCTGTCTCGCAGCTTGGAACCTCTCTCCCAGGGCGAAGGGGAGGAGGTGAGCTTTCCTCAAATAGTGGTAGAGCTCTCCGAGACCCCAAAGTTTTTTTTTTTTTGGAGGTCAGAGGGTAAGAGCTCCCACGGAGTCTGGGGTGTTCTCCACATCCCAGGATGCCTTTGCCCTGATTTTCCCAGGGCAAAGCTAGATGCTGCTTCCATATCTGTGCTTAAAATGAATTTATGAGTAAAATTTAAAGCAGACAGAGCTGACCAGGAGAGATTAAAATGGGGATTATTTCGAGACTTTAACTCTGGAAAAGAACTTATCTTCTCCTTCTTTTAATTAAGAGTGGTGAAAAATGGCACTGAGGTGTTGTTTCTTTGAGTGAAAGGACCGGAATTTCTTTTTGGAACAATGTAACAGATTTTGTATTTGTATAAATTGCAAGAATTTTCTTTTTTTCTTTTAAGGGGGCTTTTGTCTTTTTTTCCCCTCTCCTTTTTTCTGTTTTTTTTGGGGGGGGTATTTGTTGATTTTATAAGATTTTAGTAGACTTTTTACAAGTGGTCTTAAAAATAAAATGGCTTCAAAGCGTCTCGGAGCTTCTTTTGCTTCTAAAGCCTCGATCTTCCCGGTAATGCAGACAGCTCAGCAAGCTAAGTCTAAGTTTCCACCACCTTCTCCATTGCCTTCAGCATGTATACTTAAAAGATTTACAGGATGCCTTGGAAAAAAAGGCACGACAGATTAAAGAAGAGATGGAGGGTTTTTTTGAAAATAAATTCATGAAACTGAGAGAGGACATAGTGTTCGCGTTTCAAAAGTTTGTTGGTCACATAGATCATCTGGATGAGCGTATTGATGATGTTGTGGAAAATTTTGAAAAACTGGAAGATCGAATTGACAAAGTGGAAAACAACGTGGAAATAATACAGGATGAAATTACTATGTTACAATACAGAAACATGGAATTTGCTTTAAGAATAAGGGGAATGAAGGAAAATGTGCAAGAGGATTTGAGACAAGTGGTGGTAAAAGATATAGCTTTCATTTTGGGGGCTGAGCCTGAAGAAATATTGAGAGAGACGGAAAAAGTTTTTAGGGTTAATTCTAGGGTTGCGAGACAGAGGAATTTGCCACGAGCCGTGGTTATCTATTTTTCTAGGAGATCACTTCGTAATGAAATTTTACAGGCTTTTTATAAGCAGAGATTTCAAATTGCAGCTCAAGATGTTATAATTTTAAAAGAAATACCTTCAAAAATTCTTAGAAAAAGAAAGGATTTTGCTTTTTTGGTTGATGAGCTCAAAAAACGACAGGTTCGATTTAGATGGGAGATACCGGTTGAAATAGTGCTGAACTATGCAGGGACGTATTACAGACTTAATACAATGTCAAAGGCGAAAGATTTTTACATTTTGGTTTTGAAGGTGGACTCTCCATCATCTTTACGACCTGAGATAATAGAAGAAAAGTTGGAAAAGCAGCCGGTTGAAAGTGTTACGGTATTGGATGTAGGAGACATACAGTCTGAACCTTTGCAGCAGTCTCTTCAGACAGAAGATTTTTTAAAGGAACCGAGAATGACTCGTGCAGCCTATAGACGTAAATTAAAAGAACAGCAGAAGATGGATGTTGGAATAAAGAAAAGGAAATGGTGAACTTTTGTAGTAGTTTTTTGAGATAGAAGATGTTTTAAAGGAATAGTGAATGATTTGTATTTAGTATGTTTTAAAGGAACAGTGAATGATTTCTGTCGTATGTAGATGTAAAGAAAAAGAATAATAGAAGGTGTTGATTTAGTGGAAAAGTTTAAATATTTGGGAGTATATATATTATAAATTCTTAATTTAAAGTGAAAAATAATTATGAGATATTATGGGTAAATGTGTAAAAGAATTTAAATTCTAATGATCTCTGTTGGTGAGAATTTTAGAAGATGAATGGTTTGCTGAAACTTTTTAAGTAGGAGGGTATTAATAGACTTTCTTAGGGGTAAAAAGCAAAGAGCCAATTTTATCGAACGTAAGTTTGTTGGTTAGGTTATAATGGAGGGAAAATTTTGTGTTTATTATGGATGAATGGTTGTTTAAAAGAAATATACACCTCAGCGAGGTGAGGATGGATAAATTATATGTAGAGTAAATATGGGTTATGATATGGGTTTAAAATGCATTATGCAGATTATGAATAATTTTTAGTTCTCAATTTGGAAATGCTTATATTGTTAAAAAAAAGTTTTTTCCTTTTTTGTATTTGAGTTAAAGTATATTACTGATTTTATTATTTGTATAGTTGGATAAGTTTATTTAGAATTTGCTTGTTTATTTGTAACCCTGTAACCAGCTCTGGGAAGTGAGGGGGGAGGGAGGGAGGGGGTTATTTTAGGGGGGGATATTGTTAAAACTTGTATAAAACTTTTCAATAAAAAAGCCAATAGAATAAGAGGGAGTAACACAGCTAAAGAAAAGGGGAAAAATGGCAGACAGCCTTGTTTGGCGACCCCCGTGAAATGGTTGTTCGACCCCAAATGGGGTCGTGACCCACAGATTGAGAACCGCTGCTCCAGTTCCTCTAATCCAGGGGTCCCCAACCCCCAGTTTGTGGACCAGCATTGGGCTGTGGCATGCCAGAAACCAGGCCACGCAAATAAGCAAAGCCACATCTGCGGGATGCAGGCAGTACATGAAACCAGCCCCCCTTTGGTCCACAGAAAAACCTCTCTCCACGAAACTGGACC